AACTTCATCTTCTACCTCCTTTCCTCTTTCCTTTCCCTGCTCATCCTTCCTCTTTCTTCTTCTTATTCTTTCTCTCTCTCCTACCTTCTTCTTCCTCTCTCAAACCCAGATCTAACAAAAAAAAAAAAAACTCTGTAAAAGAATCTTCTCCACAAACAACCACAAATAATTGCTCCATAAAAGAAAAAAAGAAACAAAACCAAAAATAGAAGAAGTCAACCTTGGTGGAAAGACAAGCATCCAAGGCGATGGCAACGGCTGTGATGGCAACGTGAGTGATGGTGGAGATGATGGCGCCATGGATAGCGGGGATAGCACCAGAAGAAGCAGCGGCGGTGGCATTTAAAGAAACAGAAATTGTGAATATGCTTCTGCTTAATTATTTAAGATTGAGAGACACCTAGATTTGGTTTTTCTCAAACCCAGATCTTGGTTTTTTTCAAACATGCATAAAGCAAAGCGCACGAACATTCATAGAAGCTATGGAGTTTTGTGAATTGCAATGGCATCTATTTTGTAGATCTTGAAACCCTATCTTTTCTCTGCGTTTAAAGATTCTTCTCTGTTTCTCTCAAGAACGAGCTAGCCACTGGTGAGAGCTTCATTTTTGTTCTATTTTTTCAAACTCTTGTGGTTGATTCTTGGTCCTGATTTTGCTACTTTTCTTTGCCTTGATGGAACTAGAATTTTCGATTCTCCTTAAACCAGTTCTTGTTAGTTTATGTGCTAATTTCGCTGGCATTTTGGGTTCTAGTTTACTACATATCAAGTCTCTGGTGGTTCGGTACTGTTTCTTTTTTATTTATTTGCATCCACGTGATTGGACTTGGTTTGGTGAAATTCGAATGTGTATTTGAGGTTTTTTTGTTAGACTGTGATTTAGTTTCTCTTTTGTTGCATTTCAGTGGTGTCGGAGGAGTCATCTGGGTTTGATTTGGAGAGGAAGAAGAAAGGACAAGAGAGAGAGAAAGTGAAAGGGGAAGAAGAGATGACGTGGATGGAAAAAAATCATTATTTTTAATTAAATAAAATGCCAACTCATAAAAAAAGGGGCCATGTCATTAGCTAAGAAAAAAAAATGATTTGATGGCAAGTTAATGTACCACTTGTCCATTTAACTGATAGAAGGATGGTTTTGTTATCGAAAATGAAAGTTTAAGAATAATTTTGATATTTTTTGAAGTTAAAGGATAATTTTGGTGCCAAAGTGAAAAGCTGAGGGACCAAAATGGTACTTAAACCCATAACTACCTAAGCGCAGTGCTAGGGGCACTCACCTCTTGCACTTTCCGGCCAACACTTCCCCTTTCATTGGGCCAGGTAAACTTGTTTC